TGCAGTCATCATTGGTTTGCACAAAAAGGGATTCATATTGCTGCTACTAAGATTGCACCTAAATCAAGCATTTATCGGTTCATCCAGAACTTCAAGGAGAGAGGTGCAATTGTTGTGAAGTAGTCTTCAGGGCACCCAAGAAAGTCCAGCAAGCACCAGGACCGTCTCCTAAAGTTGATTCAGCTGTTGGATCGGACATCACCAGCGCAGAGCTTGTTCAGGAATGGCAGCAGGCAGGTGTGGGTGCATTTGTATGCACAGTGAGGTGAAGAATTTTGAAGGATGACCTGGTGTCAAGGAGGGCAGCAAAGAAGCCACCTCTCTCCAGAAAAACATCAGGGACAGACTGATATCAAAATGTACAAAGATTGGACTGCTGAGGACTGGGGTAAAGTCATTTTCTCTGATGAATCCCCTTTCTGATTGTTTGGGGCGTCCAGAAGAAACCCTGTCCAGAGAAGAAAAGGTGAGCGCTACCATCAGTCCTGTGTCACGCCAACAGTAAAGCATCCTGAGACCATTCATGTGTGGGGTTGCTTCTCAGCCAAGGGAGTGGGCTCACTCACAATTTTGCAGAAGGATGACTTCCTGTCACATATTGTGGATTTTCATGTTTCACCTCACCTTTGGGTCAAATCTTGTGTTGCATTCTGGGTGGCCAGTAAATATCACTTGGGTGTTAAAGGACCAGAAGATTGGATGCTGTTTTCTAACAGAATAATGTCTAGTGTGGAGTTAAACCACCACGCACTGTCACAATCTGGAATGGCCACTTTGTTGCCAAGTGTGGAGGTTGATCAGATGTACTTTGCGTGTGTATGGCTGAGCTGTGTCTTGATTACTTAGCAATGTGCCTGCTGCATAATGCAGTGATCATGGAATGAGGCTCCATGCAGACTGGGAGTTTTAATAACGCTGGTAATGTTAGTGTTTTTGTATTAGTGTTTAGTGGCATTTTGCGGCTTTTTGTTTTTTTTTTTTCGCGTTTTGTGGTTTTTAGAGGTGTTTTTTTTTTTTTTTTTTTTTGGTTTACCCCCCACAAATTTTTATTTTTTTTTTGGGGTCAAAAAAAGTCCAAAAATGCTGGTTTGCCTCAATTTACCGTGTTTTGCTGAGTTTTTTCAGCGTTAGAGCATTTTTAAAGCTAAAAAACTCCTCTAGAAACCCACTAGTCCTGGGTTTTTTTTTCCAGCCAAAAAACGTCCCTGCCAAAAAACGTTGATTACAGTCTGTGTGTGCATGGACACATAGGATAACATGCAGGGGGGTTTACTGGCTCTAGGAAAAAATGTCAAAAGCGAAAAACAGCAGCTGTAAAAACGTCCAGTGTGCATGAGGACTAAGGGCTGGTTCACACCTGGAATTGCACAGGAACGCGCAGCGCATTCCTGTGTGATTCACATACGGTGCTGTTTCAGCTCATTCATTTTGAATGGACTGAATTGCACTGGGCCACACCAAATGCAGTGCATACCCTACTTGTAAAAAACGCACTGTAACCAGGTTGCATGGTACTCTGTACTTCCAGTGCAGGCAAACGCGCTGCATTTGTGACCCGCGTTTGGGATGTAGTTAACATTCACACCTGCTGCAGTTTGCAATTGCAATGCGTTTTGAATGTGGTGCTGGAAACACACGTGGTTTACCTGCACTGTATTTTGTTGTGAATGGGGGCACTGTTTTTCCTAGGTAGAACGTTGGATCCATCTGCGTCAGTATCAGGGTGGTCTCCAGCAGGTGTCTGATTAATTTACTCTGGAAACATCCTGCAGAGAGATGCTGTTGGGAGTATCTATACTGAGCCTAGGTTCATTGCGAGTCGTGTGGCCTGCATTTACTCAGGCACTGCAGCCCATTTATTTGAATGAGCTGCTGTGCACACTTTTTCCTGCAGAAAACAGATGCATGTAGTTTTTTAAAAATGCAGGCGCAGGGTAACTGCATGGTCTTTTTGATCATGTGATTTCCCTGCGGTTCCCGCAAACGCGCTGTAGGCTGAGATGTGTGGGGTTGCCATTCAGAATGAATGGCAGCCCTGCGCGTCTCGTAAGAGCAGTGTGACTTGGTTGCAGGTGCGGGAACAGGTGCGATACCTCCAACCAGCCCGCAGACTGTGGGTAAGTGTGAACCTAGCCTTTATTACTTTTTCAATACATTATTTTTTTTTGTTATGCTTTGAGATAAAAAAAAAAAGATTGAATGCAGATTGCTTGAAAATGTTAAATATAGCATGGTTTATTAATTGCTGTAACCAGTAAAGCCTTCTACATTTATACAGTGTTTTCTGCCTGTCAAATCAAGGGGATAAAAGCAAAAGTGACACATGCTGCGGTCTGACAGCGTAACATAGTTTTATGATCTGTTGATATTTCACTTTAATAAGCAGTAGGTTTATGTAAATCTAAAAAAAATTTAATTTGTCAGCAGGTAAACGTTTTATAAGGGTCTTCTGCCCAAAAATAATTTTACCTGTTAGTTTTTTTTTTTCTTTTAATCTGCACAATGACTGGGTGTATGCACAGTACAATGATCAGCCCCCTCACCTTCATTTCTGGGGATGGAATTGGGTGCCAAAAAACTGCAAGTGCAGCGCTCATGGACAGAAGTTACATCATCAGTGACTGCCCATGGGCAGAGCAAGAAGATGTCAGACCTTGAAGAAACACCATGACACTGGTGGGGATGGAATGGATGAGGAGTGTTCAGACTTGACATTATTGGAAGAGGGATATGCACAGAAGTACGTATACTTGCACTTTGTCAATTGCTGACCATCCCACCATGCTTAACTACCACTTTAAGGGCTCATGTACACTGCAGCTGATAAACTCACGTTTAGGAGCTGTTCTGTTTTTTTTTTTTTTTTTTCCAGCAGCCCTTGAACTCACCCTAATGTTTTCCTATGTGTCCATGTACACATCTTCATTTACAGTCGTTTACAGGCATTTGATTTTACAGTTGTTTTTTTGAACGACTTGCGTTCAGCAGTCGATTTTAATCAGCGTTTCAAATGCAAAATGCTTGTAAACTCAGCAAATCGCGTTTATAAGCGTTTGCAAATTTTTTTTAACTCTTCCAGTTCCCAATGCTGTCCAGAGCCTTTTTTCATCATGAAAAATGCATGGAAAGTGTTTTCAAGGTACTCAGATGGACAAAACATTGAAAGCAGGATGTTCCTACCAAGCTTGTCACACCTCACACCTCTCCCACCCTTGGAAACAAAAGATATGTTATTGACCATTCACACCTCAAATTCCTGCCAGGTGGCCTTAATGACTAATTCCACCAGACACCTTTCCCACCCTTGGAAACAAAAGAAATGTTAATGAGCAACTCACACCTAATTATCTCAACACATACTTCTGTCTCTGCTTCTACTCTCTGTATTTCTCTGAAACAGTCTGAAATAGTTAATAATTTACCACTTTTCAGTGCACTCTGGGCATTTGGGAGGTTCTTCTGTGCTTATCTTTAAAAACGCTTCTAAACTCAAACACGAATAAACGCTTTATGAAAATGTGGCTAAACAGACGTTTTTTTAACCTCCCTGGAGGTATTCCCTAGTCTAGCTCGGGGTAGAGTTTCAGTACCACAAGCTACACTCTGAAATACCCTGCAGCGTTGCTCCAGGATCTCTTCTTCACTTATCTTGTCCTTTGCTCCCGCAATGTCCCCCCTGCAGCGTCCCCAGCAATGTCCTCCGGCCGATGCCGGCATCTGTTTTCCGTGTTCCGTTCCCTGCGACGCCAGGATGTACGGGGACGGAAATGGCGGGAAATTTAAAAATGTCAAAAAGGGACATTCACTAAATACACTAAAATCACATAGTAAAACATTACTGTATCAAACCATTTCACATACATTTTGTCCCTAGTGCTTTGTCCTGTGCCCTGCCTGCATTTTTACTGTTCTTTCTGCCTGGAAACTGAGGAACGTCCATGGCGTCCAAAAAGCATCCCTTTAGGTCAAAAGCGGTTTTAGACCAGCTAGAGAACAGCGATAGTAAATTAGAACTACTTGCGGAATTGAGTGATAATGATTCGTGGGGAAATTCATCATCAGACACTGAAAACAATTTTGCAACTTTGCTCAGAGTTGTGCGAACTTGGCGCTATATTTCAAATTTCAGTGTTTTTTGGTTTGGTTATATTATTGAATTAAATTTATTATATTTTTTATGATTATTAAATTATAACTTACGATTTCGTGTTTAAAATTTTAACATACCCGGGATGTTTACTAGACTCTTGCTCGGACAGATTTCGGTGAGTTATTCCTAAAATTTACAGACCTACAATAAAAAAACTACATCTTTCCATGCAAAAAAATGTACTGCTTTGAGCACAGAAATACTGACATCAGACGCTAGGGAGCCTACCCTACGTTTTCCAGCTGTCAGTTTCCACCGTTCAGAAGTGTCCCGTGTACATGGGGCCTAACAGGATAACGCTTTTTTTCTGCAGTGAAATCCGTGCATCATTGTAAACTTGAGGAACTGTGTCTGGCTGTCTCAGGAGTGCTTCACCATGATATAAGCCTAGCTCCAGATAACACCATTTAAGCAGTTACTGCAGTTTTTTTTTTTTATTCTGAAGAAATTGTTTTAAACAGTATAATAAAAACAGCTTTGTCAGCATAATAGTTTATTCCTTGTAATTAAATTAAAAAGAGATGTATATTCTGAATACTTAGGTAATTGGTATTGATCTCATACAGTTATTGAAACCAAATTTTTTTTTCTAAAGTGGGCCTTACCCACCGCCCGCCATATAGTAATATGACGGACTCAAGGTGGTTTATCTCGTTCTGGGAGGATGTCATATGACGTCCTCCCATTCTCACCGCACATGCGCGGCTCAGGGAGTGCGCAGCTCGGCGATTGGCGGTGCACTGTGTCCCTCGGACACAGCGGATCACCGATCAAGGAAAGAGCTGAAGATGTTGGTTCGGTCATGTGATCAGCTGTGTCCAGTCACAGCTGATCACATGTAAACAGGGAAATGCCAGTTATCGGTATTTCTCTCCTCTCAAGCTGTCACGCTGACAGCTCGAGAGGAGTGGAGAGTCGGTAATTGGCTTTCCGCGGAGGGGACATGTACACTGATCATCAGGGCACTGATGATCATTGTAGCCCCAGCAGTGCCACCTGTCAGTGTCCATCAGTGCCTTGTGCCAGTGCTCATCAGTGCCACATCAATGCCACATATCAGTGCCTACCAGTGCACATCAATTACACATATCAGTGCCCATCTGAGCTGCCTTTCAGTGTCACCCATCAGTGCCACCTATCAGTGCCAGTCAGTGCCGTCTATCAGTGCCATGTATCAGTGCTTCCTTTCAGTGCCCATCAGTGATGCCTGTCAATGCACATCAGTGCCACCTACCAGTGCCACCTATCAGTGTCCATCAGTGCAGCCTATCCGTGCCCATCACTGCATCCTCATTAGCGCGCATCAGTGAAAGAGAAAAATCACTTATTTACAAAAATTTTATGACAAAAACTAAGAAAAAACTTTTTTTTTTTTAATTTTTCAGTGGTGTTGGGTTTGTTTAAGAAAAAATAAAAATCCCAGAGGTGATTAAATACCACCAAAATAAAGTTCTGTCACACACAAAAAAATGATAAAACATTTCATATGGGCAGTGTTGCATGACCGCGCAATTGTTACTCCGAGTGCGACATCGCTGAAAGCTGGAAATTGGCCTGGGCAGGAAGGGGATATAAGTGCCCTGTAGGTTTGTGGTTAAATCAGAAATTGAAGAAACAGAAAGTGGAGCAATATAGAATGAGGGGGATATAGAATGGGGGGGGCTGCTTTACCTTATTCCTTGCCAGAAGGGAAGCATGTTAAAAATAAGCTGGCTCATCCTGCTAGCCATGCATATTGTCACTTGCCCTCCATTCTGTTTTGCTGGCATCAGTGAATTGGCATCTCTGAAGAACAGGAGGGGTTGAAAGAGGAAATAAAAAAATTGCCTTGTTTTGTGAACTGGGCAGAACATGAGATACAAACAGGAACTGACTAATGAGATTACCAGGCTAAAATATCACCCATCTGTTTATTATACTGCATTTAGCACAGCCTGGGAATTGTAGACCACAGAATTGTTATATATCATGACATATTTTGATATAAGAGCAAGTACTCAGCTGGATTGTTGGCCTCATGATGCATTAGGATAGTTAGACAATAAATTCTTAGGCGTCATGCACATGGGAGTAACTAGGAGTATAATATGCCTAGCATTACAAAAACATCTTTTTTACAGCAGCTGGAGAGCTGCAGCCAGCCATAGAAGTAATGGGCCTAATACTCCTGTTACCACACGTGTGCGCATATGATGTGTCTTCCCATACGCAACACTTTCACGTACACATGTGTGCATGTACATGTAGATGAAGAAAAGCATTGACGGTTAAACAAGTGCAGGGATGTACAGCCATTAATTCTACAGCTGGCTGTACACCCCACCTGTGGCTCCCCAGCCAAGGGAAAATGTTTTTTTTTTTTTTTTTTTTTTTGCATTCCATATATTTTGTATGTAATTATGTCTGTATGCATGTAACCTAAGACAATTCAGCTTTGGCTCTATAAGCTCTCTAATAGAAACTTGGTTTCTGGATTGAATTGATTGTAAAGCTTGGCTTTTTTTTTTTTTTTTTTTTTTTTTTTAATTTAAAACGACTCATGTTAAACTTACCTGCAGTGGCGAGACAGGGTCATCTAGAGCCCAGGGCGAACATGCCAAATTGCGCCCCCCCCCCCTCCCAAGAGATATGAGCATTATGTGTCAGCAAAACCGCCCACTCCTCCCTACCCCAAAAATCATGCTTACCCCCGAAGCATAAACTCCCCCTCCTCCCAGTACAAAATCTGCCCCCTGCTAAAAATCTCCCCCATCCCAAATCTTCTCTCTTCTCATATGCCCCATCACAAGATTCAGCCCCCCCCAAATTTCCCCCTCCTAGCACAATTCCTCTTCCCTCCACTCCAAATCCCCCCCAGCACAAATACCCCCAATCATTCCTACTAGCACAATTTGTCCCCCAGGAAAATTCTCGCACAAATCCCCTCCCCCCTACCATATTACCTTTTCTAGCACAAATACTCCTTCCTAGCACAAATACTCCCAATCCCCCCCCCCCCCAAATCACAACTCAAATTTACTCTTCTAAAACAATTCTTTCCCCGTGCCCCTTCCAGCACAAATCCCCCTCCCCAAATCTCTTGCACAGAGCAGCCCTGATCCTCTTCTGGGGTTCCCTGCCGGTGCTCTGAGCTCCACCCCACTCTGAATGCCCCCAGAGCAAGCCACTTGCTCTGGAGGCACTCGCGCATGCTCATTCTTGATCTGGCTCTATGTTTCCATAAGTCAAGCAGAACGGGGCTCGGCCCCACTCCCTGCCAATGGCTGTCATTGACAACAGAGGGAGCCAATGGCTTCTGCGGCTGTACCTGAGCCAATCAGTAGCGAGAGAGCTTCAGCTCTCGTGTACATTGCTGGATCGAGATTGATTTCAGGTATGTATTTAGGGGGACTGTGGGGAGAGCTGCATGAAGGAGGTTTTTTTTTTACCCTGCTGCATAGAATGCAGTAAGGTAAAAAAACCTTCTGCCTTTACAACCACTTTAAAGCAACATATTGGCAGCTTTTATTATTTTGAGGCCTAATCCGGTCTTGCATAGAAAATTACACCCTTGCCCATGTTATACTTAGAATGTTGTAACATTACTACAATATGTTTTGGTTAAGGTCACAGGTATAGGCGGGATAGAAAATGACTTAATTCAGCTGTTTGGAAAAGAGTTTTGATGCCCATTTTGTGCTTCTTCTCTATGTGGCCATGACTAAAATGAATTCTATACCTATATCTATATGATTCTTTATTACTTAGGCCACTTGCACAGATGTAGTAATTTACTGATGTTCATATGCAGGATCTTGCTGGCAGAGTAAAAAAAAAAGTACCGTATTTTGCGCTCCATAAGACGCACTTAGGTTTTAGAGGCGGAAAACAAGAAAAAAAAAATATTCTTGACCAAAGACTGCGGACACAGTACAGGAGATGACCAGAGACTGCGGACACAGTACAGGAGATGACCAGAGACTGCGGACACAGTACAGGAGATGACCAGAGACTGCGGACACAGTACAGGAGATGACCAGAGACTGCGGACACGGTACAGGAGATGACCAGAGACTGCGGACACGGTACAGGAGATGACCAGAGACTGCGGACACGGTACAGGAGATGACCAGAGACTGCGGACACGGTACAGGAGATGACCAGAGACTGCGGACACGGTACAGGAGATGACCAGAGACTGCGGACACGGTACAGGAGATGACCAGAGACTGCGGACACGGTACAGGGGATGACCAGAGACTGCGGACACGGTACAGGGGATGACCAGAGACTGCGGACACGGTACAGGGGATGACCAGAGACTGCGGACACGGTACAGGGGATGACCAGAGACTGCGGACACGGTACAGGAGATGACCAGAGACTGCGGACACGGTACAGGAGATGACCAGAGACTGCGGACACGGTACAGGGGATGACCAGAGACTGCGGACACGGTACAGGGGATGACCAGAGACTGCGGACACGGTACAGGGGATGACCAGAGACTGCGGACACGGTACAGGGGATGACCAGAGACTGCGGACACGGTACAGGGGATGACCAGAGACTGCGGACACGGTACAGGAGATGGACCAGATACAGGTACCCCGCTCCCACTTCTGCGGAGTTGTCCTCCCTTTAGTCTGGGCACCCGGCTGACAGCCAGGTGCCCAGTGCGCATGTGCAAGAAGTGCTGTGCTTTGTGATTGGTCCGGCGTCTTCTGGGACCTGTCATGTGTCCCAGAAGACGCTGTACTATTCACAAAGCGCAGCGCTTCCCACGCATGCGCACTGGGCACCCGACTGTCACAGCCGAGAGCCCACACTAAAGATGCTGATGCGGGAAGCCTTCGCACCGCTGGACCGAGGAACAGGTAAGGTCCTGCTGCAGAGAAGAGACGAGTGGCTGGCCCGATAGTCTGACATGGCGGTGGGAATACCAGTCCGGCCGCTCCATAAGACGCACTGACATTTTCCCCCCTTTTTTTGGGGGAAAAAAGTGCGTCTTATGGAGCGAAAAATACGGTAGTTATATTCCCTAAAGATCATGTGTAATGTAATGGTTTATTCACACCACAACACATACGTTGCTTTTTTTCTAAAGTGTTGGTGTGCGTTTTACACGTGCTGCGTTTTTTTTTTTTTTGTAAACATAGAATTAGATCACTTAAAGTGGACTGTTGAGTAGCAGCGTGTTGCGTTTGTGTGCGATGCGTTGTGCTAAAATAAAAAAGTAGTACTTGCTGTACGTTTAGTGCTGGGCAAATGCAATGTGCTGATATGAACAATGAAGAAACCATTCTTATTTTGCTATGCATTGGGAATGTGTTCACAAACACAGCTCACCGTATCTGATGTGACACCACTCTGGTTGGATGAGCACAGGAGGCAGAGCAGCATTGTCAGTCTGGGGGGAGTGTTAAATGTTTCAGCAGATTTATTTAAAGTAGAACTATAGGCTTAATTGTTTTGTTTTAATTTTGGATACGGCAAAGGAGGCTTATAACCCCTGTAAGGTTTATTTTTTTACTCTGTTCCAGTGGGGGAAATCCCTGCAAATTAAGGGAATTTCTTGGGGACCCCCAGGTAACCAGAACTAGTGTCCTCATTGGAAAATTTCCCATCTATTACCTTTCTGGGGATAATCCAAAGTTTGGAATTTTTTTTTACTTTCAATGACAATGGAATACAGGAAAAATAGGGTGAATCTCCCTAATGGGACCACAGACATGTTTTTATTGCTAACAGATGTCCCAATCCATTTCCACTCTATCCAAAACTAAGGAACAAGTTTTGCCTTTAGTTTTTCTTTAAATACACTTATTAAAGCTAAACTCCAGTTAACACTTTATGATCAGGTACAGCAAGCCGTTTTTCTTTTTGGGAAAAAGCTTTTACATGAATAAATAAAAGCTGATCATTTTAAGAACCGCTGTCAGTGTAAAATGGTTTGTCTCATCTATGTAAACTGATACATTATGCTGGAGAGCTTGAGCTGTGAAAAACAAGACTTGCTGGTCAGGTCACCAGATGAAAATAGAAGAAAGAGCCTAAAAAATTAACTAACACAGCCATTACATCTAAGTACTGGCAAGCTGCAATATAATAAGTTTGCTTTTGAGTTTAGTACCGCTTTAAATGTGTACAGATACATATGCATTTAACATTGTAGTTCTGTATCCTCCTCTTTTTCAATCCCAGAATGTACTTTCTGCAGCTATGTATACATCTGTTCACATGCATACGCACG